ACAGTAAAGAAGAAGAGATGATACAGTATTACAAAGAAAAGCAATTTAAAGCAAGTCTGAACTTATCGAAAAAAAAAAAAAAAAAAACAAAAATCAATGGATCGCAACCTATGAATAAAAACTAGAAGAAAGCAAAAGCAAATAAAAAAGGAGTTTATGCCAGTGAAAATTACTGAGGATTCTCTTTGTTTTACCTAAGCATTAGTTCCATTGTCTCAAACGAAGCCTAGCACACCAACCCCTTCCACCTACCGCAAATAGCCGTAGGGTAGCCGTACGCGCAATCGCCAGAATTTCTTGCGAATTGTGTATGGCGTTGGCCGAACCAAGTCGACCCGAGTTTTAGTAGTTGCAGCGGTCCTAGTTTTAATATTATGAGCCACTGAACTAGTAAATAGCAATGCGCACCAGACTAGCCGGTGCGATCATGCGTTTTGTGCAATTCAACCCTTCGAACGATTGCCTATTAATGATTTTCACTGCTTTGTACTTTTGTCTGTGCAAAAATAGTTCAAACATTGGAAAATAATTAAAAATTTCAAGCACCAGCGCATGAAAGCTGAATTAGAAACTTTGAAGGGCGAATATCTTTCCGTGATTCCCGAGCTAATAGTTTAACCCCCAAAATTCTCACGAGGCGTTAGGTAACTCTCAACAGCGAGGGAACGCTGAATTTGAATGGGCAAAGTTGAGCGTGAGCAGAGGGTTATTACCGTAAAATTTCAGCCTCCTAGACTTTGTGGTTCCTGATATATTAATTTACCCGTAAAAAACTTTCACGGGGCCGTACGTGTTACCCGCGGGTATGAGGAGGCTGAATTTAAATTCGCCGCGTCACCCGTTGGCGGGAAACACTACACCAAAATTTTAGCCGCCTAGCTTTTGTGGTTCCCGAGTTGAAAGTGCGGGACAAAATATGGGACACACACACAAACACATACACACAAACATACACAGGCACAGACAACCCCGTGACAATATGCGTTTTGTAATGCTGTTACATAGCACAAAACGCATAAAAAATCACTGGGGTATATGTTTTACTGAAAATTTTGCAGACCTGGTTCGTTGCTGAAGTGTTGCGCAGTGGTTGTATTGTGTACAGCAGCGATCGTTGGCTTGGTGCGGTGTATGAAAATTTGAAGAAATGTGATCTGAATCTGAATTTACCAGCTAACACGCACGCACTTTTAATAAGCGTTATCAAAGGTAAGCACTTAGAGTTGTTCATACAGCCAAAAATGTTGGAGTGAGCCCCGTTATCGTTACAGAAATGCTAACTTGTGTCGTCTAGACTGTTTCTTTTTTTTTCTGTGAGGCTCCCCCCTCCATTCCATTTTCGACAAAAAAATTATTTTTTTCGAAAAAATAATTTTTTATTAAATTATAGTTCTGGGGGAAAAAAGACTGTTTGAAAGGTTGGTATTGCTCGGAAACTATTAGACTTAACTCAGCCTCAACAGTCGGGCTTATTTTGATAATGCTGGGGATTACGGGGTTTTTTTTTTCAGATTGAACAGTTGAGTCCCGGACTGATATCAAATTTCGAGGAATGGACTGAAATTTTGCTTCGATAGACACATGGCGCCGAATTTTTTTAACAAAAATTATGTTTTGGTCAGTATGACTCTTCCCGCCCCCTATATATCTTGCTCTCCTTTCGATTTCTTTAACTGCGAACTGCTTGTCATAGTTACAGGACAGAAGCAGTTTGAACCTTTTAAGAATAACAGGACAAAGTACGACTTAATGTCATTTCAGGCTACTAGAAATTCTCTGTATCAGAGTATCTTCGTTATAGTATCCACTATAGTACAAGAAGACGCATTGGCCGAAATTCGATATTG